ATTTATAGCGCGTGGAACTACGTTTGCCGCTTTCCCCGGTACTCTGCAACTTACGTTTTCTATTCCGTCCACTCTGTTAGATTTAGGATTCCAAACTGAGAAAACCAGGGTTAATAGAATTCGATGCTTATTGATTGCACTTGAAGACGTATAACTATATGAAATCGAATGTACACTGGCGTTGCAAGTTCCTCAGACGTTTTGTATATTTGAAAGTGATCGGCATATTTATGGGTTGGATTACACGAAGGGGCACAAAGACACGTGATGGTATATATGTAATGGATGGCATCCTCACTATATATCCCGCATATATGAGAAACTACCACAGGCGCTGTTGATCTAAAGGATGAGGACCTTTCATTCCATTCTGATTGGTTTGGAAACAGTACTTTCAAGAGAATACAAAACTAATACACTGAGACCATTCTGAACATATTATTTACGCACTTCCACTAAGGGTTTGATGTCTGTCTCGATATTCTTTGGTTTAGCCTTTCGGTTGTGATCAAACAGTATGACTGTCCGGGCCGACTAGGCGGAGCTTCTGCTGTAGGTTCTATCACACCATAAATAGCTTTCACAAAGCAGCAGTCTCCTTCCGCAGCTGAGGTACCATGTATCTACTTTTATTCTGGAAGAATAGATCACATGCTCAGAGTAATTTTCCCACACTCAAGCGACTAATCAGCAGTTCTGCAGTTCAGCACAGTATATGTAAATGGATACTGCTATACGGAAAAGGGCTATCTTAGGAAAAGGGCTATCTTAGGAAAAGGGCTATCTTACATAATTCAAAGAGTGTATGACGTACATATGAATAAAAATGCTCCCAGACCATAGCCTTCTGAAATTGTGTTTTTTTTTTGAGAGGGCTATGAAATATGAATGCATAGACCACAGTATTTTTAGTTTTTAGTTTTTGTGAAAAAAATTAAGGGACTCTGGACTCTGGACGCTAGACTCTGGACTGGGGAGTGGTCAGTGGGCCAGTGGCTGACTGACTGGGAGCCTGGGACTTGGCAGTTGAGAGTGAGTCAGTGAGTGTGAGAAGTGGGTCCTTGAGTGATGAGGGTGGGCCCGTGGGGCGGATGGGCCCGCTTTTAGTTATTTAGTATTTACCCCTAACTCTCAGTAGCCCTGGCCCCTGGGGCCCTGGGCTCACCGCTCAGTGGGCTGCCTCGAGCGGTATTTTAATTTTTAATTTTAAAATTGGCCTAAATGAGTCATGGCAACAAGCTCTGAATTTTGTATAAAAAAAGAAAGAGAATTTTGCTTGCTGGTTTGATATATTTAAAAAAAAAACGAATATACTCACAGTCACATGCCACAGGCCCACAGAGTGCTGACAATCCTCACACGTTGAAAAAAAAAAGTCATAAAACATATCTGTAGCATTTTGTGAAATCAAAAAAATAAATATAGGAAGAAAAAAATGTTCTATGTATTTTGTAAGCTCTTTGAAAAAATGTAAATATATCAAAATTACACACCCATTCATATATCAGCTGCTACTTCTGACTAGCAGGTGGCAGCTAGAATAGGGCTCAGTCTACCGGTGACCTCAGCAGATTACATATCCATACACTCTCGTAAACAAATGAACAACTAGTACAATATAACGAAAAAGACTGATAGAATGCGGTTCCACGCTCGTTTCGCTATACTTGCTTTTCTGGCGTTATTCTCCTTGGGAGGGCTTCTATTCGCTGGAGTACCGGTTGCTCGAAAAATGGAATGGAGTATGTTTCTTCCAGCCTTAGCTCAATTTGTATACAAAGTGGCTATGGCCTTAAGTGAAGCATGTGGGCGTGTACATCAAGTTTGAAATTGCCAGTCTACACTCTGTGGTTCCTTGATTTGCTTTGAAACATCCTAGGAAAGCTATCACCACTCTGGCTTGTCGGGAGTGTATCTAGACAAGTATGTCCCTCAGTCGCTTCCTAAGTGGGTCTTATTGAGCAAGCATGGCGCAACTGTGATAGAAAACTTAAGCTCCTGATGTACGATCTTTTTCTT